AAAAAAAAAAAAAAAAAATTGTTATTCTTAGACTGATGTGTATATAATATGGGAAAAAGCAAATGAGTAACTGGGAATCCTAATTCTACTGTCTCTTGTGTCCTTGAGAACTAAGATTATGGAAAGATTAATCTAATAGCTATTAATATCCCCAACAACCAGGCTGTGATTTTCTATACCAACTCAACTGAAAAAATAAATAGGGCTTTTTTCAAGAAATGGCCAATTCCAGGTCTGGGACAGGAAATGTACAAGATGAGGCTGGAACATCTTGCCAACCCAGACACAATGCAGCTATCAAAGATTACTAGAGTCCTGCCAAAGGACTTAGGAGCCTAGTGAAAAGGTTACCATTGGCCAAAGATGGAGCAATTTGAGCCCCAATAATGTTAATCATTGCAATGGATTAAAATATATTGGCTTGGCGCCTGTAGCTCAAGTGGCTAAGGCGCCAGCCATCGTACACCAGAGCTGGCGAGTTCGAATCTAGCCAGGGCCTGCCAAACAACAATGACAAGTACAACAAAAAGAATAGCTGGGCGTTATGGTGGGTGCCTGTAGTCCCAGCTACTTGGGAGGCTGAGGGAAGGGAATCGCTTAAGCCCAAGAGTTAGAGGTTGCTGTGAGCTGTGATGCCATGGTACTCTACCCAGGGCGAAAACTTGAGGCTCTGTCTCAAAAACACCAAAACAACAACAAAATATATATATATCTTTTCTCTGGGTGCGGTGATTCACACCTGACACTAGCAATCTGGGGACCAAGGTGGGTGAACTGCAACCTGAGCAAGAGCAAGATCCTGTGTTTACTAAAAAAATAGAAAAATTGGGTCAACGCCCATGGGTCAGTGGTTACCATACCAGCCACATACTGGCTGGCGGGTTCAAACCTGGCCAACAATCACAACTACAACAACAATAAAAAAAAATAGGCTTGGTGCCTGTAGCTCAAGTAGCTAGGGCGCTAGCCACATACACCGGAGCTGGTGGATTTGAATCTAGCCCTCGCCCACCAAACAACTATGACAACTACAACCAAAAAAAAAAAAAAAAAAAAGCCAGGTGTTGTGGTGAGCGCTTCTAGTCCCAGCTACTTGGGAGGCTAAGGCAAAAGAATTGCTTAAGCCCAAGAGTTTGAGGTTGCTGTGAGCTGTGACACCATGGCACTCTACCAAGGGTGACATAGTAAGACTCTGTCTCAAAAAAATAAAAGAATAGAAAAATTATCTGGCTGTTGTGGTGGGTGCTTGTACTCCAAGTTCCTCAGAAGGCTGAGGCAAGAGGATCACTGAACCTAGGAGTTTGAGTGAAGTTGCTGTTAGCTATAATGATGCCATGGCACTCTACCTAGGGTGACAGAGTAAGACTCTCCAAAAAAAAAAATAATAATAATAATAAAAAAAATATATGTCTTCACATATTTAAATATGAGTTTATAATGATATTAGTAAAACTGGGTGGTGCCTGTGGCTCAAGGAGCAGGGTGCTGGCCCCATATACTAGAGGTAGTGGGTTCAAACTCAGCCCTGGCCAAAAACTGCAAAAAAAAAAAAATAATAATATTAGTAAAACAACCAGTTACTTTTAGAGGATAGGGAACCAAGCCATTATTTTGAAATAAGGGGGAAGAATCAAGCATTTATCCTGCCTTTCCTATATGAAGTATACCACTTGGTGACCAAATGGTAGTCGAGGGAAAGTGTTCCTTCATATAAGGAGTCAAACTGATAAAAAGAAATGATAGAATTAGATATCACCATATTGCAACCCCCAATGAATAAGTGGATCTAGGCAGTGAGCATTAATAGCTGCTAACAATTGGCTTGGTGCCTGTAGCACAGTGGTTATAGCACTAGCCACGTGCACAGAGGGTGGCGGGTTGGAACCCGGCCCGAGCCCAGCTAAACAACTGCAACAGAAAAATAGCCAGGCCTTGTGGTGCGCACCTAAGTCCCACCTACTTGGGAGGCTGAGGCAAAAGAATTGCTTTAGCCCAGGAGTTTGAGGTTGCTGTGAGCTGTGACACCACAGCACTCTACTGAGGGTGACATAGTGAGACGCTGTCTCAAAAAAAAATACAGAATATAGGAAAAGCAATTCTCAAATCAGGACTGGCTATAAATTTTCCAGAAATTTTGTTGAGAGAGATATATACATATCTCCTTATAAACAACAAATGCAACAAAAAAATGAACTGAAAGAATACATGAGAAGCTGCTAACAGTGGGCGAGCAGGAGCAGGACTGGGGATAGAGAAGTCATCAACGTAGACTTTTTTTTTTTTGCAGTTTTTGGCTCGGGCTGGGTTTGAACTTGCCACCTCTGGTATATGGGGCCAGTGCCCTACTTCTTTGAGCCACAGGCTCCGCCCTTTTTTTTTTTTTTTTTT